GTTTTAATGGCAGATTGGTTCATTTTAAACATAAAATTAAAATCGATTTGATTCGAATAATTTCATGAAAATCCACAAACCAATGAAAAGTTGTAATCGAATCAATCTAACTCTTAAATCTAATTATATCATGGTGGTTTTACGGATTAGACTTTTCTAAATACTTCAATACTGATTAGGCTTTTCTAAATAGTTTAATACTTACTTTGTAGATATATATATATATATATATATATATATATATATATATATATATATATATATTTCTAACCACACCCCATTACATATTAGGATATGGATTGAGCTATTTCCGGTTAAGTTCACCAAAATAAAAAATAAAATAATTTCATTTGTTAGATTGCATATTATGAGCTTTAAAAGTAATAAAACTATAACTTAAGGTTATTGGAATTGTTTTAGAGATTTGCATGAAAGATGTCAATAGAAAAGACTATCATGATTGATGGATTGCTATCATAGTTGGTAAGGTTATTAAGGGCATTTTCAATGGACTCTCCGAATTTGTCATATCAACATTTTTTCATAACCACGTCAGCATATCCCATAGTCACGTTAGCGTTTTAGAATCTCCAAATTTTAGTTATCGGATATACTCCAATGTTGCATTTTCGCTTTCCAAAATAATTAATATTTTATTATTTTTTAAATTTTTAATAAATTTTATTTTTTAACTTTTTCGTAACGCCTATATTTTTAAAATGGCTATATCATAAAAAATAAAAAAATTAAACAATAGAATATTTATTATTAAAAACAATACGATACGACATAAATTTAAACAATACAATAAATTTATGTCAGTAGGAATATTCTAAAAAGCAAATTTAAAAAAAAAAAAAACACTTTATCCATATTTTTTTAAACTTTTTTTGCCCAAAAAAGCCTTTAAAGCACTGTTTGTGCCAGCCAAACAGTGCCTTAATAGCTCTTTGGTTTAATTATTTTGAGAAAAAAAAAAAAGAAAAAAAAAAAGATCAAAATCAGGCAAAAAACTATTTTTTTTCCCAAAGAAAAAGAAAACTGATGCGGACCCGTATGTTAGGCCCGCAATTCACCAAACCAATCTTGGTTTTTGGAAACTTGGATCAAGATTGTCTTAAAGGGGCCCACTTTTTGAAGAGTGCATTGGAGCAGCCCAGTTTTTATATTCAGCCCAAAATCGCCGGATTTTGCACCATTAGACCTGCTCTAAGAAAATTAAATTCTAGAGTCACTGGGACTTAACATAGTGATTTGAAAGGAATTCTTTTTGTCACACTGTATATGAGTACAGGGTATGCATTGGAATCGACATTGTAAAGTAAACAAAGTTCAACAATCATAAGAAAGCTGGTATGTATTTTTATATCATATGCCGACTACCAATCATAAGTAAGGCACAGTGTGAAGGTTATTTTGAAAAGGGTGATGCTATATAGTCAGAGGGATAAATCTAGAAAAAACATATGAGGGAGGGCAATTGTGAAAATGTTTAGAAATTTCAATAGGGGCAATAGTAATTTTTTATAGGTATACTATCAAAATGAGAAAAAATAGCAAGGCATAATGATAATAAAAAATAAAAAATAAAAAATAAAAATAAAATTCAGTGGGGCAAGACACTCTTAGAACCGTGCCTGCATAGACTTCGACTCCTACCGACTCCTATGTTGCAAGTTGAGGTGGAATAAAAATACTAGATACCCTTTAAACTTTAGTTTTTACTTTCTTTTGGGCTACAATAATAAAATAATGATTTTAAAGAAAAATGCAACAGTTTATACGGATGCTTTTAGCATTTAGACTTCTCATGGAGTGCTATGGTTGACATTCGCTAATCTCTCTCTCATAAAAAGCATCACTTTTTTTTCGAATTTTGAATGTCACAAATTAAATTGACACTATTCTTAAAAAATGACATATTATTTTGTTTTTTTAAACAAAGGTAATAAAATATTTATAAACCACACAACTGGTTTCCAATTTGATTCACCATTTACTAAAAATTTTACTAGCCCCAAAGTCCAAGGAGGCCCAACAACTAACATTTTGTCCTCGCCCGAGGTTTAGCTGTTCAAGTTACTCGAAAAAATAAAAAGGAAAAAAACCGAGTCTTTGGAGACTACCAGGATTAATAAAACAATGTAGTAATATTGTGGTTAAAAAGAAAAAAAAAATTTAATAAAACAATAGAAGTCTTCGGTGGCAGGTAAGATTAATATAAAAACTTAATTATATAGCATGAACCTTCCTAAGATGCAACTTAATGAACAAATAAAATAAATCCTACGGTATTAAAGCAACAATTAAAATATTGTCACTTATAATGTGAAATAGCGACAAATTCAACCTCTGTGACAAGAGAAATTATAAAAAATTGTAAAATGTAAAATAAGGTTTAGCTTCAGTTTGTGATGTGTCTTGGATGTCTAGTATGAGAGACAATAACATTTTCAATATAAGAGTCTTGAATTTCTTATTCATTATAAAGAGGTCGCTCAATATAATTTAAAATTTTAGGGCGAAAATAATAAAAGTGGGCTGAAAGACCACTTAAGCATTTGATTATCATTATGAATTAAGTAAATAATATATATATTTTTCTTTTATTAGTGTATAATTTTTAATAGATTTTCATTTGTTAAAGTGAGTTCAAATGGAGAGCGAAGATAATAGTATAATTATATATAATAGTTGCACTATATATTCGGAATTATATATAAAAATTGCAACTATATATTCCGAGTTATATACAATAGTTGCACCATGTGGATAATTCATAGTATATATATTCGGAATTAGACATGCAGGCAGGGTACATGGATGAATAGGTCTAAGCATCTTAACGAACTTTAACAAAACTTAATTCCCAACATATCAATTGACCACCACAATTACAATGAGAAATAAAGAAAAAATTACCTTTAAAAAAATAATAATAATAAAGCAAAAATTAAATTTTAAACTTTCATGCAAAGAACACCAATTTTATGTCGACAATTCAAATAAAAAAAAATCACAAGAACAATTTTTTTTTTCAATAAATTCATAAGAACTTAGGACTAGCATAATCAATCCACTGTCAAGAAAATATTAGAATTATGAGTATCAGAGTCTTAATTCAAAAATATTGTTGAGTCAGAAGTAAATCTGGGTTAATTCAAAAAGACAGATTACATCTCTATATATATGAGAAATCGTTTCCAAAAAATATATATATACTACACCATGACTCAGGCCAATTGAATATTAATTAAAGAAAAAAATGTACACAATTGATATGTCAACAACTAACTTTTAATTAATTCCAAAATATGTACACTTGTTTTGAAAATGAGTGGAAAATGAAAATTGCCTCCATAATTTTCTAAGTATCTATTATTTTTGAAAATATTATATATAAATGGTGCTAATGATCCATACTTTTACTATTTAATGGAGTGAAAGTCTCATATATAGTTTCGAAAAAATGAAGTTGACCAAAATTATGATGTAGACATGAAAAAACATTATTTACCTTCACTGAAGTATCACTTTTAGGCACATATGTACCATTTTTTGTACACTGAGGTACTACTTTTTATTTTTAACATAGAAGTACTACTTTTATTCACATAAGTAACACTTTTTGTGTATCAGGTACTATTTTTTTGTGCAATACAAAAAGTGGTACGTATGTGCCTAAAAGTAGTACCTTAGTAAGAGTAAATAATGTTTTTTCATGTCTTTATTTTTTCGAAATTATAAGACTTTGACTCCATCAAATGATAAATATGGGTCACTAGCACCATTTACATGTAATAATTTCATTATTTTTCATCCATTAGTTAAAATGTTTTATAGCTCACAGCCCGGTATTGATCCGAAATTTGTTCAAGCAAAATTTATTCGAGCTCCAAAATCCAAAAGCCCTAGGACTAAATTTATTAATTGTGTTTATCGTAGTATCAACAAACGTTAGTCAATGGGAGCAAAAAAGTGTGTGAGTGGGGTATAAGTGTATTTTTTGTTCATTTAAAAAAATAAATAAATAAATAAAATAATAAAGTGTCAAGAGACTTCATTGCAACCAAAAGTACTGTTACTCTGCTAAGTTGCTCCCAAACAAATTACAAGTCTTCTATGGCATGCAAGATTAGTAATAGAAAATTATATTCCCATTACATATTTCCTAGCTTGCAACTTGCTAAAACATGAGCCAACAACTAACCAAGAAAAAATTGCCTGTCGTGAGAAGCAAGCAGAAATATATATATATATATATATATATATATATATATATTAGACTTCACAAGAATCACAACAAGGTTCTCCGCTTGGGATGCATGGCTCCGGCATGTTCAATCTGAGCCAGCTTGTATTCTTCATTTTTTGTCATAAGATTATGCAGACAGCTTGCAATTTTCATTTAACAGGCTTTAAATGAATGATTTTGCAAGTATGTGGACAACTTGTTTCATGGTTTTGCAAATGCACTCCATTGACTTTATTAATTTGGTGGAGCTAATTGGCTCTATAAAAACATTGAAAGTGATTTGCCAACTCGGTACGTACAATAAGCATTATTCAAATAACAAATCACCAAAATCACGAAATCTTTTAAGAAAAAAAAAGTTCCTATCAACTCTATTTTCCTGCCCACAATTTTCAATAGCAGAAACAAAATCATTTGAAGTTAAATTTGCATTTTGGTACGTGGAAGCTCTCCCATAACAATAATGCTACTAGACCAGTAAGAGTTCCAAAGTGTATCATCTCTTCACTGCCCAGTGGATGTAAATTTTGGATCTAAAAGTCCAAAAAGTTTACAATACTCTGTGTACTTACACATGATACCCTGATCAATATGATCAATAGACAGTTATGAAAACTTTCAATTTTATATTTTTTTCTCGGTAAGTAACTCAATTTATCTTGATACACAAAAATGGAGAATTTTTAAGAAGAATCATGACTGATCTAAATACCTCGTAAGTTCACGACTATATAAGAGTAGAAGATTGCATCTGAACATTTGGGTAATCAAGCACTTTAATTGGAGAATCAAACACTGTTGAACACAACATGGCTTATGTAAATGACAACGCATAACAATGATAAATACGAAAGATTGGTAGGAACAAAGGCATAAATATGCACATTATTGGTATTGACTGCAACAGAAACCTAGTTAATAATAAGCAAGCAAGGTGTATAGGGTGGATAAAAACGTAAGGGCAAAAAGGATAAGGGCAGCAACGACTGATATGCCTGACCATGGACTACCAAAATAATATTGTGTTAGCCTTCTGCTATAAAGTCGCCAAGGATTGCAGAACTTCATGACATCCTTGTATTCCTTACGGTAATGAAAACGACGTGGAATGGCATTCTTGCATATACCATTGAAAAGTTTGGCCACTTCTTCCCTGGAACCTAAATTGTTGCGTATGATTCCTGCTTCCTCCAACAGTTCAACATCTTCGGCAGTGTCGATGAGGATATCCATGAGAAAAGCAAGTGATGTGAAGTAATTACCAATCCAGGAGTAACTCTGCTCGAGAGCAATGCAGTTTCTTAAGAAAGACTCGGTGGAATCAAAAATAAGGAAAGGTGTTATCTCTAAGCGACCTTTTCGAAACAAGGAAGAACAGCTAGTAAAACTAAAAGTAGTACTGAACTTGATGTCGAATAGGTTTCCATGCGCGCCTGCCTTCAATTCGACTCCCGCCAATTGAAGTTGTGTTGCAGGGTAGCTGATTCTGTTCTCCATCTTTTCTTTTTCTTTGTTCTCCATCTTTTGGTTTTCTTTGTTCTCCATCTTTTTTGTTTCATCATCTTTTTTGTCTTTTTGAAGGTATGGAGTACAAACCGGCAGGTATTGCATATGCAAAAGATGGAGTATATGATAAGGAGTTTCGTCTTCCTTGTATTCATTTTTTTCAAGGCCCATTATGTTTCCAAAGAAGACTAGCACCCATCGAGTAAGGGAGGACTTCTGGTCGTTTGGATTTGGGATAACATTTCCCACCGTTAGTCGGAACAATTGTTGAAGAACTGCGAAAGGAATCTGATTCTCGAGCAATAGCAAGTCACGTTGGATGGCATAGTACTTGAAAGAGTTCCCCAAAATGGGATCATCATCATTATCCTTGTTTCCATTTCTGAATAGAAGCTCAATGATGAAGCAACCATCAATAAGCATCACTTCTGCAAGTTTGCTCTCATCTTCTGTGTGGCAGGACTGCAACCTGGCCGGCTCATAGTATTTCCTAACTTCATCTTCCATCTCAAGCATAGCTACCGCACAAGCTCTTTTTGTTTCCTCAAATGTTCCAGCTCGATTCAGTAGTACACGGGTGTAGCTCGACTTCACAGGCTCCATTGCTTGAAGACTTTCTGTCCCTCTGTGAAGAGGGCCAATAGATATGGTGGTAGGGCTATACGCCTTTTCGTTTTGCTGGCGAAGCATATCAGGGACCCTGTCCATCATCACCTCATTTTTTTCACTGCAGTTGATTTTAATCTCAACAGACTTTAAAAATGTAGACACTACTTCATCTTTCAACGAGGGGAGACTTACTTCTTCATCTTTCGACAAGGCACAACTTGCTTCTTCACCGTCCCACAAGGCAACAATTGCTTCTTCATCTTCCCAAATGGGGACACCAGGTCTTGTCACCGTTGTCATACTCCTGGTTTGTTTGTGATCAGGGGTTCTCTAGATCTGTATATAATTAAATTGGTTTCATTTGGTAAATTATAATGACAACCCTAAATCCCTAATAGCCACTGGATTTGGTCCTTAGTTGACGGTGAAATGTCATTTTGGTCTTTTTATTTGATATAAATAATACCAACACGGCAACACCCCAGACCCCACTGAACTAAGGTCTAATTAGACGCGGATTCCAACAGTATATATAAATAAAAATATACCCATATGAGTCTTATTTTATTCGTGTTTGATTTTTATGTACCATATTAGTCTTAAATATGGTTTCATAAGGAAAATAATAATAATAATAAGATCAATAAAATATAAAATAGGATTTATTTATCAATAAAAAATATTTTATAACCGATAAGTGCATACAAATGGTAAAAAAAGAAAAAAAAAAGAAAAAAAAAGAGGCATAAATAAGTAAAAAATAAGGATAATACTTGAGTCCACTTTTAGGAGGACAAACTTAGTCCAATTTTAACATATGTTCACAGACTTGGTCCAATTTAAACACATGCTTGAAAAAAAAAAAATTAATAAAATAAAATAAAATAGGTATTACCAATCTTATTAGGGGTTAACCCAAAGAAAAATGATGATACTCTCCATCCAACCAAACAACAGAAAAATCCTAAAGAATCTAAATCATTACTCACTAGCCACACCGCATTTCTTGGACTCTCCGATTTTGGGTCTTTATTGATGAAGATACATAGATCTTGATCATGTACTCTTCATCTCTCATCTCTTTCCGATTCTGGGTATCTCTTGATGAAGATCAATAGATCTTGTTTAATATCTTACAATGACAGAGGACTATGAGACAGCAAACATTCAACATATTTGAGATATAGCCAACATCTATGGCTGTATGGCTGTTTTGAGAAAATCATTGGTATAATGAAGGAAAAATCAGTTAGATTATTTTAATTTTGGATAATATTTGCATTACAATCACTTTACTTAAATAGGCAAGAGAACGTAATCACCTAAGTGATAAATAACCACAATCATTCAAACTCTAACAACCCACCCAACCCTATCAATCTAATTGACAAGATAACATTGGCGTGATATCACTGAAGTTAAATTTGAATTAACTTCCCGTACTTTCCTTAATTCAAAATTTCAAACAACTTCAACAAGTTTAGGGTCTTCAAATCAGGGACAGCTCGATATAACTCGGGACCTTGGGCGAAAAATAAAAAAGTAGCTTTTTCATATCATAATATGCCATATATTAATTATTAAATAATAATTAATTAAAAATTATCCTTCTTGCTTTTTGAGCTAAATCAGGGAGAGCGGGAGCGGGAGTGAATTTGAGAGCGGGAGAATTTGAGCAAGAGCGCGCGCAGAGCGTTAGAGCGGGAACGCGTTTGGAGCGTGAGAGCGACACCTGTTAAGAAATATTGTGTGACTTGATTTTTGAGATGCAAACTTACTAATTAAATTATTATATTCAAGTGTGGTTAAAATATTTTTTTCAATAGACATATAACCAATCCATTTAATCTTTCTTGTGACATAATTAGTGTAGATATAATTTTATCAACTTTAATTTTGAAAAACTTCTTTATGCATTTGGAAAAGAATCTAATCTTTTAATATAATTTAATATTTTAATTGGAGTGTTTGTTTCTATGTGTAAAATTTCTTTTAAAACTTTTAATTATAAAAATAAATCTAAACCATCAATATCAAAAGACTCATCATGTTTTAAAAATGGTTCTAAATTAAAACAATATTTTTTCAAACTATCATCATCTAATCTCAACAGACTTTAAAAATGTAGACACTACCTCATCTTTCAACGAGGGGAGACTTACTTCTTCATCTTTCGACGAGGCACAACTTGCTTCTTCACCGTCCCACAAGGCAACAATTGCTTCTTCATCTTCCCAAATGGGTACACCAGGTGTTGTCACCGTTGTCATACTGAATGAACCTTTGGTGTGTGTTGACGGGGGCAAAGACTCCTGGTTTGTTTGTGATCAGGGGTTCTCTATATCTGTATATAATTAAATTGGATTCATTTGGTAAATTATAATGACAACCCTAAATCCCTAATAGCCACTGGATTTGGTCCTTAGTTGACGGTGAAATGTTATTTTGGTCTTTTCATTTGACATAAATTATACCAACACCCCAACACCCCAGACCCCACTGAACTAAGGTCTAATTAGACGCGGATTCCAACAGTATAAATAAATAAAAATATACTCATATGAGTCTTATTTTATTCGTGTTTGATTTTTATGTACCATATTAGTCTTAGTATAGTTTCATAAGGAAAAAAATAATAATAATAAGATTAATAAAATATAAAATAAGATTTATTTATCAATAAAAAATATTTTTTAACCGATAAGTGCATACAAATAGTATAAATAAGTAAAAAAATAAGGATAATACTTGAGTCCACTTTTAGGAGGACAAACTTAGTCCAATTTAAACATATGTTCACATACTTGGTCCAATTTAAACACATGTTAAAAAAAAAAAAAAAAAAAAAAAAATGGGGGGTGGTTAAAAATAGGTATTACCAATCTTATTAGGGGTTAACCCAAAGAAAAATGATGATACTCTCTATCCATCCAAACAACAGAAAAATCCTAAAGAATCTAAATCATTACTCACTAGCCACACCGCATTTCTTGGACTCTCCGATTTTGGGTCTTTATTGATGAAGGTACATAGATCTTGATCATGTACTCTTCATCTCTCTCTCTTGTTCCTGAACTCTTCATCTCTCATCTCTTTCCGATTCTGGGTATCTCTTTATGAAGATCAATAGATCTTGTTTAATATCTTACAATGACGGGGGACTATGAGACAGCAAACATTCAACATATTTGAGATATAGCCAAATCAATGGCTGTATGGCTGTTTTGAGAAAATCATTGGTATAATGAAGCAATACGTACCAACAGGAAAGAGAAAATATACGTGAAGGAAAACTCAGTTAGATTATTTTAATTTTGGATAATATTTGCATTACAATCACACTTTACTTAAATAGGCAAGAGAACGTAATCACCTGAGTGATAAAAAACCACAATCATTCAAACTCAAGATAATATTGGCATGATATCACTGAAGCTAGTTAAATTTGAATTAACTTCCAATACTCTCCTTAATTTAAAATTTCAAACAACTTTAACAAGTTTAGGGTCTTCAAATCAGGGACGGCTCGATGTAACTTGGGGCCTTGGGCGAAAAATAAAAAAGTGACATTTTCATATCATAATATGCCATATATTAATTATTAAATAATAATTAAAAATTATCCTTCTTGCTTTTTGCGCTAAATCAGGGAGAGCGGGAGCGGGAGCGAATTTGAGAGCGGAAGAATTTGAACAAGAGCGCGCGCAGAGCGTTAGAGCGGAAACGCGCTTGGAACGTGAGAGCGACCCCTGTTAAGAAGGATTGTGTGACTTAATTTTTGAGATGCAAACTTACTAATTAAATTCTTATATTCAAGTGTGGTTAAAATATTTTTTTCAATAGACATATAGCCAATCCATTTAATCTTTCTTGTGACATAATTGGTGTAGATATGATTTTATCAACTTTAATTTTGAAAAACTTCTTTATGCAGTTGGAAAAGAATCTAATCTTTTAATATAATTTAATATTTTAATTGAAGTGTTTGTTTCTATGTGTAAAATTTCTTTTAAAACTTTCAATTATAAAAATAAATCTAAACCATCAATATCAAAAGACTCGTCATGTTTAAAAAAAAGTTCTAAATTAAGACAATATTTTTTCAAACTATCATCATCTAATGATTTCAGCTTTTTGAAATTAAACAAAAAACCAAAAATATCTTCATATATTTTAAATTGTTCAAACCTACTATGAAGAAGTAGCTTGATCAACTAACCTAATTTAGAAAGTCCCAATTCAATGTTATTGCAAATTCTTCAATAAAAGAAAAGTGCGTTCAAATTGAGATTTGAGACTAATGAATATTGAGTCGAGAAGAAAGAAAATTGTAAAGTTGTAATGAGAGAAGACTGAAGGGAGATGACTTGTAAGTAACTTGTTAATTTTGTTGAGAGAGAAAATAATGAACGTGAGGATTAGGAATAAGAAAAAAATAAAATAAAATAAAATCTAGGAAAAAATAATATGGAAAGTTTCTTCACTTCCCAATACAAATGCTAAATATTTATTGTGGTGCAACTTACCAAAAAAATATTAAATATATATAGTGCTGGTGTAAAAAAAAAAAAAAAAACCTTGGATAAAAAAAAAAAGTGTATAAGATAGACAAAGAAAAAAAATATTATTTAAGAATATAAATATTTGGGCCCATATTAAGTATGTGTAATGGTTATAGTTTGGTTTACTAAACAACAGTGAATGAGGAGGAGAGAGAAATTGATAGAAAAAATGAGATATTTTAGGAGATAAAAAAAATGAGATATTTTAGGAGATAAATAATTTCTCACTTGGTAAAAGTTTAATGACAAGACGTGAATGATAATAAGGAAAGACAAAACAAAAAACAGTAGAGTTATTTTAGGAGATAAATTTTTTTACAATTAGTGTTCAACAAAGAAACAATTACAATATATCATCTACAAGGCAACTATAATATTTTGGGGCCTTTTTATTGACTAGGGCCTTAGGTGGCCACTTAAGTCGATAAAGCCTCAAGCCACCCCTGTTTCAAATTTCTACCACAATCACTGCATGAGACAGCCCAAGTTTTTCAACTCGGTGCGTTAGTGATGAACCGAAAGATGACCTGATAACGGATCCAAAATGCAGAAGCAAAAGACAAAACAACGGTCTCTAGAGATACAACATGGCTCTAAGACACCATTATGACCCTCAACGAGGTCACGGAACCCAAAGGAATCAAATGCGGAAGTAACGTTTTCAAAAACGAACAAGAATGAACCTAGGGGCAAAAACATCATTTCCAGCTTAAAAGTGGGTGCCACCAAGCACACCATTGGAAAGAGAACGAAAAATTAATGAATTTAGACTCAAAAATCACTTGATTTGGAGTCCGGATGAAGAAGATATGGCTAACGGAAGGAGAAGGGGCAAAACGGTCAAAAATAGCAAACCCTAGGTCATCTAACCGGTTACCAAGCCTTCCTAACTGGTTAGGACACCAAAATTCTC